AAAGAACCAATTTAATTAGAATTAAATCAATTTCAAAATTAATTTAATAAATTTATAAAAATTAATTAACATTTAAAATCTTAATTTCACTTTCTCTATAAAAAATTTTGAATAAAGCGAAAAATAATTTGGAAGCACACGTTACGAAAGAATAGAAAAAAAAAATTTACATAGCAATAATTTGTAAAATAAAATTTTGTATCGCAACATTCGGTATTGTAATATACGGTCCTTATCACTCTCACGTTTTTTTTTTTTTGGCCTATTATACAAGTATTACTCTTTTACATATCTAAATACATAAATGTCAAGTTTCGAATGCCAAGACGTAAAAATTATTGCAACTTTACAAGAATGGAACTCGGAGAAAATTTTTTTAATAAACATTTATCAATATTATGTAAAAAAAAAGACATCCGAATTTTTTCAAATTTACATTGAAACATTAGAAATTTAAATAATCAGAGGTTAATAATTCCCTCTGTGTTTCATTTTTTATTATTTACACGTCTTTCTTTCTAATTTTTCATTTTTAGAGATAAAATTTAATTTAATTCGATTGAATTGATAATTAATTTTTCTTCACGAAAAAAATTTTTGTATAATTAACAAACATTTAAATTTATGCAATAGAAAGAATAAAAATTAATTCAAATTTTTATCAAAAAATTTATATTAAAACAATTCGGAAAAATTCAGACATTACATATATAAAATTCAATTTTTTTATACGATATTTACAAAAAAAAAAAAAAAAATAGAATACAATTTTTAAAATTCTATTTTTATTTATCTACTATTGTCAAATATTTATAATCACTCTTTTTTGCAATTCCGGCATATTATATATATATTGTATTTTATTTATTTATTATAATTATATTTAAAAAGAAGAAAATTCCATTCTTTTGTTTTTTTTTTTTCATCATCTTCAATTTTACGTCATTCGTTCGATTCCCTGTGCTTTTAAAAAAAAAACTTCACATGATCTGAATATTACCGGAAAAAATTTTTTAGCCCTTAAAAATTTGAATTCAAAGAAAAAACTGTCAAAAAAAAGAAATTTCAAATTAAAAATATTTTCTATTAAGAAAGTATTCTCATTCAATCTTTCAATTAAAAAAAAAAAATAATAATAATATTTTAATTTTCTAATTTAAATGAAAAAAAAATTATTTATTCTATACAATATTTGTAAATGCAAAAATATTTAATTTCATCTTATTTCTTGAACTAAAAAATATTGTAAACATTTTAAGAGATAAAAATTTTTTTCAAACTTAATATAACAAATCAAACATTGCACTAATATCGAGCTTTTACAATGAGTTCATTTTTTTTTTACAATATCATATTTGGGCGTGTGCATATATTTCTAAACCTTTTTATTCTCGAAAAGGTTTAGTTTCTTAATTAATAATATATTGAGACAATAGTTATTGTTGTGCAGAATTGCGCGGTACGACAATTATAACAAAAAAGCAAATACAATATTAGTGTAATTGTGTCTCTCTTTCACATGAATTATATAATATCTATATAATTATAATAAAACTTCATATAAAAGCGTTGAAATTTTCGTATATTATTTTTTTTCGTTTTTTCTCTCTCTCTCTCTCTCATTTATAACTTTAAGCTACACAAAGAATTACTTTCACAAAATAGCACGCCTCTGTGGTAACCCTAGTTTTTCTTATTAACTACTGTACACACAATTATAAGTATTTTAATATTCTTATTATTTTTTTCTAATCTCTCTCTTTCTCTCTCTATTAAGTTAATTATCTTTTAAGATTGTTTTTTTCTTTCTCTAATCGACAAAAATTGCATTGTAATAAGCACTTTAAATATTAAATTCGAATCGCAGTAATAGTTTCTCTTCTTTTATTAAAAGATAATTTTTTTTTTTTTAAATTCTAGAAATCCACATCATTTCAGCATATTGTTGACTTTAGACATTTGGGAAACAATTTTTTTCGAAATTTTAAAAAAATTTAATATATATAATTTACAATTTACCAAATTATTATTATTATTGTTTTATACAGAATTCTTTAAATTTTTTCAATTTAATATATATGACAGAATTTTTATTTATCCGAATAGAAAATAAGCAGAAACTTTTTTTTTTTTTAAATTAAATCAATAAATGCGTTCAGTTCATATTAAAAGTAATTTTATTTGAGCATAAATCATTTTAATAATTTTATTGGTTAATTTTTAAATTCAAGACCAAAATAAATATTGCAATGAAAATTCATTTAAGTGGAAATTCTGTAAAATAGAAATTTTTTAGTATGAAAATTGAAAGTGAAATAAATTTTACGATTATAAAAATTTCGATTAAATATAACATTTATTAAATCTGAATTCTATTAAATGAAAATTATGTTACATAATGATAATTAATAAGGAAATAATGTGACAAAAAAAAAGAGGTCTATGAATTTTTTTATATTATTATATTTATTATTAGTTCAAATTTCTAGTGAATGGAATTTATCAGAATTTATAATAAAAAATTTTCCGTTAAATAAAAAATTCAACTTTTAAATGAAAATTCAATTAAATATGAATTCAACATTCAAGTTAAAATTTGATTAATATTGTTGTTTAATATTTTTGTTTTATGGAAATTCACTCATTTTTAAATTCGGATAAGTGAAAATTCGTTCAAATAAAAATTGTGATTAATGAAAATTTATCAAAATAAAAGTTCTGTTACGTAAAAATTTTGTTAAAATAGAAATTGATTTATGGAAATTCCTTCATTTAAAATTCTATTAAATAAAAATTCTGTTAAATAGAAATTGATTTATGTAAGTTCCTTTATTTAAAATTCCATAAAATAAAAATTCTATTAACAGAATTCTAATAAATGAATTTCGGTAAAATAAAAATTTGTGTTTAATGAATATTCAACGCAAAAAAAAAATTATAATTACTAAAAAATTCTATTAAATGAAAATTCAATTAAAGAGAAATTGTTTTATAGAAATTTTGTTACATATAATTTTTTTTTCTTAAATATAGAAATTATATTGAATGTAAATTCTGTTACGAGAATCTGTTGTTGAAAAATTTGGCTAAATAGAAATTCCATTAGATAAAAATTCTTTTTAATACTAATTATTTTTCTTTATGAAAATTCGGTACACTATAAATTTTACTTTATGAACTTCAATTAAAGGAAAATAAGACCCTATATGAATTTCGAAACAGTAGAAAATTCAAAACTCATAATTTTTTAAAAACAATAATATTTCTAGGTCTTTGAAAAAAAAAATCTTATTAAAGTGCTTATTTATATGAAATAACAATATTGAAAAATGTGGAAAGTTTTGCTACTTTTCTAAGACACGCGAATAAATTGAAGTGAATTTTCAGTGAAACGCTTCAAATAATTACAATATTATCACTTGTTGCATTTTGTTCCCTTTTCATAAAAAAAAAAATTGCAAGGTTCTTTTTTCATTGCCGAAATTCGGCTACTTTCATATATATATAATCTGTATATTTGTATTGTCGCAAAAGGCCTTTAAAACACTAAAAAAGAGTCTTGATTTCAAAAAATCTTATAAAAAATGATTTATTAATGACTTTGCTTTATTTAAAAAAAAGTTCTGTTTTCATTAAAAAAAAAATTGAAGCCTGTTAATAAAAAAAGCAGATAAAAAAGATGGTTCTCATATAATATTTATAGAAATAAAATTTGTGTATAATAAAACTTTCCATCACAGTTGCGTCATTTTGTCAGCCTCATAATTAAAATTTCATAAGAAAAAGAAAATTCTTTGACGGAAAATTATTATTATTATTATTATTATCATTGACAATGTTTTGTCTCTAAAAGAAACAGTCGAATAAAAAATCTGCTTGAAAACAAGACACGAGGAATCATTTTGAACCTTTAGAATATATTTAAATCTTACATAATAGGCACTATTATTATACATAATCATGAGATCAACTTTGAAAAGTTTGCGTTGCACTTTCAAGAGATTAATCTTCAATATATTGTACAATAGAATAAAATAGTTTCATCTTCATAAAATATACCACGATAAATAGCTAAAACTTTGTAAAAAAAAACATTTACAAATTATTTTAGGCAATATTCTCAAGCCTCTAATTAAGGCTTCTTTTTTTTAAAAAAAAAGGCTATTTGATTGTTTTAATGTTTGGCCAACGTGAAGAAATAGGCAAACTTTTTCTATAATATTTCAGGCCAATTATCATAATGAGATTGTTTTGATGATACTTCCAAATTCTACGATTTTAATAATAAAATTAAATTTCAAATATTTTTCTATAGAAAATATTTTTTATTTTTTTCACTGAATTTTAGAACAAATATTAAAATATTTTCAATTCAGTATTTGTAAATTTTTAATTTTTTTTTTTTACGTAAAAGAAAAGTAGAATTTGGAGAATAATCACATGTTTTCTCTTAAAAATTCCCTTTTTTTTTCTTTGCATAATTTTATATTCTAAAATTGCTCGTAATAAAAATTGACAAGAGCAGATCCATCAAGAGAAATCACAATATTGTACTTTTTTCGATAAAATTCTTATATCGAAAACGTATCATTGTAAGCAAAAATTTGCTCTGGTAGGAATTTTCAATATTTTAAAAAAAATATTTTTTTTTCTATTAATTGTGGCCAATTTTATTTTATTCCAAATTTTTTTTCTATTCCTATCTACTAATATACCTAAATTATTCTATTCATAGCTAATTTACTTTTTTTTATATATATATACCTATATATAACTTCTATGTCTTTCATTGAAGTTTTTTCTTTTGATTTATTTAGCTAATAAGACATTTAAAAACAGCACTATAAATTTTCATATAATATATATATACTTCATCATGTTTGTACATTTTGAGAAAAGTATATAACTAATTTTCGTTTTTTTGTCAAAAAATCTATCATCAATACTCATTACAATCTTTTTTTGTTTTCTTATATATATGGAACATATATATATATATAATAGAATAATCTATACCTATACATTTTATTTTTTGAGGCAAAATTGCTTTAAAACATTTTTTTTTTCACTTAATAATAATAATATCTTCATCATCGATTATTCGATTAAATTATTATTATTATTATAACTCTATATTTGAGATTTTATTTTCTTTTTGAAATTTGAGTTTTATGTATAGATTCATCTTTTTGTCATTATATTGATCAGAAAGAGAAAAATCTCAAATATGATTTGCAAAAAATTTAAGGAAATAAATTTTATTTTTCTCTCACGTTTATGTTGTCTCTTGCAATTATGTTTTTACGACATGGAACTTATGGCATTGTGAGGTGATCCCATTTGGGTGAGAACTTTGTCAAGCCATTGTAATGGTCCATGCAAGTGAGCTTCAATCCAACAAGGAGTCGAAGTTACGTCCTGTCGATGATATTCGGCACCCCAGCCTTTTACAAATGACATTCTGCAACAATTGAAAATAATTATATTTATTAAATAAACTTTAAACAAAATAAAATTTCAAAAATTACCTTTCATTTTGTTAGTTTACATTTTAATATTTTTCTATATAGAATAAAATTTTAATGTTATTCAATTCTTATTAAGTATAACAAAAATGAAACGATTTAAAAAATATATTTTTAAAAATAGTGCACGTTTTGGTTTAAAACATCAAAAAACATTTCAATGAAAGTGAATATTTTTCAATAGTTTTTAAATTATTGTCAATCAATGAAAAAATATTAAATTTGTTCTAAAGAACTTGTTTAAAATAAAAAAAAAAATTAACTTCTTTTCTTTGGTAAATTTCAAACTCCTAAATAAAGAGAGGAGAATTTTTTCAAAAAATTTGAAATATGTAAATGTAAATTTTCGATCTGAAAATTTTTAAAATTGGAATTTTGTAGATCTCATTGAAATAAATTTGTTATATTCTATAATATTTTTAAAAGTGTGAGTTCAAGTCTTAAAAACTTCTCTTACTCAAAACTTTTATTAACATTGTACTCAACAATTTTTCTACCATTGACCTCAGACCTGATAATAAAATATTTCTGAACTAATTAAATTTATTAAAAATAAAAAATCGATTTTTACGATTTCTCTTGCTCTTTAAAGTCGATCCAAGACTTATCATATTTTAAAAAATTCCCAAAAAAATATTTATTTAACCTTTAAAATATTAATAATATCCGCCGGAAGAAAAAATACATACTAAGTTTTAAGAAAAAGATTTAAAACTTACAAAAATTATTTATTTACATATTTTGCAAATGATGAAAAATTTTAATGTAGCTTCTTTTACATTTTTTAAAAATTATCTGATTTAAATGAATTATGGCTTATTTTCTTCAGAAAATAATTCTTAACATCTTCACTACAGGGATTTTTAAATAAATGTTAAGAATTATTTTCTTAAGAAAATAAGCCATGATTCATTTAAATCAAATCATTTTTTAAAAAAATTAATCGATATAAAGAAAATTTTTGATTATTTGCAAAATATATAATAAATAAATAAATAACCTTTGGGTAAAAAAAAATTTGTGTAATATTTTTAAATTATTTAGTAAAAAAACAATTGCATGTAATTATTGTTTTTAAAAAACTAACCTTAGCCTGCAATCGATGTATCATAATATATATTTCGAACGACCAGGTGTATCGGAAACACACACGATTTGAAAACTTTCAGACTCCGGAACCATCACGTTTTTTAATTAAAAAATAAAATACTTTTTCTAAACGCGATCGCGATTTTAAGAATTTCGAACACTCCCGGAACAAGAAAAATATGTATGTTTAACGAAGCCAAATTTTTCTTTTAAAAACTATTAAAATTAAAAAAATAAATTTTTTTTGTAAATTATTCAAATTATAAAATTTACACTCACGTTGAGCACGTCTAAACAGGTTAATACACAAATTGCAACTGATTTAATTATATCTTTGGGATTTCCCACACCAAATTGTTCTGACCTTTAATTTAAAGAGCCCTTTGTACTTTATTGTAAATATATAAAGCACGGGATGCAGGTATAAAAGTAATAAAATCCCAAAATCACTTCGACACATTTAAAATACTTTCAAATTATAATTTTAAAAACTTCAATAATATTTCACATATATTTTGAGGCTTTAAAATTTCAAAAATTAATATTTTTTGCAGGCTTTTTTCATGATTCTAAACAATCAATCGCATAGATTTTTAAAAATTTTAATATTTTCAAAATATAAAATTTCTAAAATGTTCAAAAAAATTTTTTTTTTAATTTTCATAATTCACAATAATATTTTAGATATTCCAAAAAAAGTGGAAAAAGTCGATTTTTTTTTTATTTTAACAAAAATATTTTACAGATTTAAAAAAAATTTTTTTTTTTTAAAATAAGTAATAATACTTTTGGAAGGGTTTAAAGTTGAAATTTTTAGAAATAATTGAATTTTAAAAGATTTTGTTAATTTTCAAAAAATAATAAAATTTTATAAAACTAAAAATAATTTATCAAATAATTTCAGATAACATTTTTTAAATATAATTGAATTTTCAAAGATTTACAATTGAGAATTTTAAAATTAATTGAAGTTTAAGTGATTTTTAATTAACAATTTTTGATGATTTCATTAAAAAATTTATTAGAAATTGCGGACAAAAATACAATAATTTGAAAACCATTTTTAATTGAAAAATGGTTTCAGATAGTTGAATTTTCAAAGAATATTATAAAAATAGTTTAAAAAAATTAAATTTCCTTAGAGTTATAATTGAAATTGTTAAATTTTAAAAAATTTTCGAAGAAAAATTTTAGAAATAATTAAATTTTAGAAGTTTTTAAATTCAAATTTTTGAAAATAATTGAATTATAATTAAAATTTTGGATAATAATTCAATTTTAGTTGATGTTTGATTGAAAATTTTGATAATAATTAATTTTGCATTAAAATTTTTGAGAAAAATTGAATTTTAGTTGATTTTGAATTGAAAATTTTGAAAATAATTCAATTTTCTTTGATTTGAAATTGAAAATTTGGAAAATAATAAAATTTTAGTTGATTTTGAATTGAAAATTTTGAAAATAATTTAATTTTCTTTGATTTTGAATTGAAATTTTGGGAAATAATTGAATTTTAATTGAAATTTTGGATAATAATTTAATTTAAGTTGATTTTTGATTAAAAATTTTGATAATAATTAATTTTTAATTTAAATTTTTGATAATTATTGAATTTTAATTGATTTTGAATTGAAATTTTGGGTAATAATTGAATTTTATTTGATATTAAATTAAAAATTTAGAAAATAATTGAATTTTTAAAGATTTTAAATTGAAAATTTAGAAAATAGTTGAATTTTAAAAGATTTTGAATTGAAAATTTTGAAAATAATTGAATTTTATTTGATTTTGAATTGATTTATGATTTTAAATTAAAATTTTTTGATAATTTTATTTGATATTTTTTTTAAATTATAAACAATTGTTAAATTTCATAAAAATTTTAATTGAAAAATAATTTGAAATAATTGAATTTGTGATGAATTTCATTAAAATTATTGAAAATAATTAATTTAGTGAAGAATTTTAGTTAAAAATTTAATAATTGAAATAAAGAAGATCTGAAGAAGATCTGCATTTTATACTAAAAAAATATTTTTTATTTAAAAATTTGTTTAAAAAATGTAAAAAAAAAAGTGTAAATAGTTGCATTTTATTAAAATAAGTCGAAAAAAGTCGTATTTTTTGAAAAAAAGTCGGAAATAGTCGAAAAAGTCGTAAGTATAATCCGAGGCCTGTTAAATTGAAATTATATTAATTTTAGTTAAATGTAAATTGAAAATTTTGCATAATATAAAATCCACTTTATACAATTTTGCTAAATAGAAATTCGAAAATTTAAGATTCGACGCCGTAAAAAATTGTATAAGTTAAATGTGGGTATTAGCATTAAATAATAAATTATTCGTATTAATGAATAATTTACTTTATTTGAAGTTGAACTGATAAAATAAAATTGTATATCAAATAATTTTTATTTATATTAAAAAATACTGAACATGTATCTTTTACAGTGAATAAGGCTCTAAGGTCTTTGGGTTTTATTATGCGGAGTGCTTCTGATTTTAAAAGTTTAATTTCCTTAAAAATACTTTACTTTTCATTTGTAAAATCTATCCTTGAATTTGCCTCCGTTATTTGGTTTCCCCACTACTTTGTTCACATCATTAGATTGGAAAGGGTACAGAATCGTTTCTTGCGCTTCTTGGCCAGACAACTCGGTGTTGGTTATGATTTTTTCTCTCATAATTATGATGAATTACGTTCGCGATTTAATATTCCTAAAATTGAGACCAGATTTTGTTATAACGACTTACTTTTTTTGTTTAAAATTATCAATGGTGTCACAAATTGTCCGGCGATACTGTCAATGATAAATTTCTGTTCGCCAACTAGACAATTAAGAAATTCCTCCTTATTTTATATTCAACATCATAGAACTAATTATGGTAAAAACTCTGTCATTAATCGACTATGTCGCGAAGCCAATCTGTATAGCGAGAATCTTGATCTCTTTGGCGTTAGTTTGAGAGGATTTATTACATCCTTGCGCACAACTCTTTTTAAAAATCGTTCTAATAATACCAGGTCGTTCATTGCTTAAAAGTTTTTCTTTTGTTTTTGATTTTGGACGCCTTTGGTCCAATTATGTATATACATTTATATTTTTGCATTTTTATGTAAAGGGCTTCTCATGCCCGTGTATAACTTTAAATAAATAAATAAATAAAAAACCAAATATTTCACTGAAAAAAATTTAATTAATTGTTATCCAAGTTTAAAAAATCATTAATTAAATTCAATAACAAGTAGTAAATAATTATTTACTTAATGAATATAAGCTATATCACATGCTTAATAATTGAGTGTGAAGGCCAACTTTTTAATTTGCATTTGCTTTCGGAAAAAAGTAAAAAAAATTTTGAAACTAATAGTTACTTTAATTTATTTATAAAAAATTCCAGAAAATTAAAGAAATTCCCTGACTTTTGCCTGACCATTTAAATTTCCTGACTGCCCTGACCGTTAGACACCCTGGTGAAATTAACTGAATATAGAAATTTATTGTTTGGGGCAGTTGCTGCACCAAAATTTTTTCAGTGTGGGAAATAGATAAAATTTTATGAAATTGACAAAAATGAATTGTACGGATATTAAATATCATTTTCACGAATTATCATTTTTTTATGTTGCATCGACTTTAGATGAAATAATGACCCAATTAAAAAAATAGTAGTCAACGATATTTTTTTTTAAATCCCGTTGGCTCCATTTATAAATAAATAAAATCTCAATTACCTTATTGTACACATTTTCGTCAATTCATAAACAGCTTCAAATCCATGATTGACACTCTGCGAAAGAAGTGATGCAAATTCTTGATTATTAAAAATCTTAAGTGAACATCCCGGTGGAATTTTGCACACTGTACTCGGATGAAATCCATGGAAATGATTGCAATTTCTTGATTGTACAAAAATAGCCGAATCCGAGAGGCATTCAGCATAAACTTCACCGCCAACATAATATAAATGCACACCTTTACCAATGTGTCTCCTTGTATTTTCAATTGTTGAATTTCTATTGACATTTGACAATTGTCCAAGGCAAAATCTATCGGAATTATTGCTGGGATTAGTGAAACCATCGACAATCACCGAATGACTTTGACAATGAAATATTTCACCAACACGACAATTCAATTCATAATAAGCAATTGATGCCCAATATGGTTGTTCCTGATAGCAAACAGGTGCAACTGCAGGTGAATTACCAGTGTCCATTGCCGCTGGATCAGGTGGTGGTGATTGTCCATGTTGTGAACCATCTTCAGGTGGTGAATAGGCAGGCGGTGGTGTTTCAGGTAAGCCATTAGTTCCATAGGGACTTTGTGGATTACTCGAACTTGCTGGACTTGGAACTGAGCTCACCGACGATATTGGCGATGTTGGATTTACATTTGTATTGCCAGCATTAAATCCACTTGTCGAATAAGTCACATTGTGTGGCATTGTTGGCTCGGGAAGTTGTTGAAATGGTAGAAGCGAATGTCCAGGTGCAAATTCAGAATGTCTTGGCACTAAAACTGGTGGCAATACTGGACTCTCGACACGTTTATAATGATAAGGATTTATGCAAACTTCTTTTTGTTTCGCCGAAAATGGATATTGACATAGTTCAAGGGGTTTTAATTCGTGATGCGATTGAAGATCGGGCCATCGCCAAACACGACAATAAATCACATGTGGTAAACCCTTGCGATGTGAAACTTGTAATCGACCATCTAAACTTCGTGGTATTGTCACACATTTACTTGGTGTTCCAGGACAACTTAATGCGCGTTCAAGTTCTTCGATTGCACCTTTTCGTTTTTTTAATTTTTTCACTAGTGAATCAACAGCTTTCTCAGCCCATTTCTCCTCCTCGTCACCTTGTTTCCAACCAAGTAATTTCTTTACTGCGGGACTTGTGAAGGAAAATAAACTATTTAAAGAGGACATTGGTCCTGAACTCGATGATCCTTCCTCGTCGTCCATTTTTGTTTTTTTTTCTCTCTCTCTCCACGAAATTAAATTTGTCACTTGTTTTAAAAGTAGATGTGCAAAATTTCTTCGACACTGATAGCTACACTGAAAATTTTACAATCTTTTAATAAATTTGACAAAATTGTTCATGTAAAAGATAAAATATTTTTTGAATTTTTATTTTGTACAAATAATGTCAAAAAAATGGATTTTTGAACATAAATTAAATAATTACATGTACATTTTAAACTTAAAAATTTTTTTAAATTGTTAAAAAATGCCTATTTTAAGAAAAAGTGAAAAATATTTTTGATTTTCAAAAAAAAGGGTTTTTTGAATTTGAAGGAAAAAATTGAAAAATAATTTTAAAAACATTACTTTAATTTTAGAAAGTGAAGAAAAAAAAATTTAAGAAAATTGCAATGTTGAAGAAAAGAAAAATAGAGAATTTGAAAAATTCTCAAATCAAAATAAAAATTTGTAGAAAAAATTGGATATTTTTACGCAATTTGTAAAAGTAAATGTGTAATAAATTTTAGGAATTCTAAAAGAATAAGCAATTTAAAAGGCAAAATTCGTTTTAAAAAACGAAAAGAAAAAATTTAGTGTTGAAGAAAAAAAAATATGGAGAATTAAAGATATTCCCAAAATAAAATGCGAATTTGCGAGAAAATTGAGAAATTTGGTCCAGTTTATAAAAAAAGGAAAATTTTAAAAATTTCCTAAATACAAGTTATTTTAATTAATTGAACAGAAATTTCAGAAAATTATTGAAAATCCCTGACCGTTTTACACCCAGAATTATAAACTGAACATAAGCAATATTTATATATTATTCTTTTAAATTTGAAATATTTTTAAAAAGTTTAATTTTTTTTAAATTTAAAAATTTTTCCAAATTTTTTAAAATAATTTACACTATATTAACTATCAATAAAATTTAATTATTTAAGTACACATATTATAAATTAAAATTATTATTTAGGGTCAGTCGGGGTAAATCCGAACGGGGGGTAAATCCGAACGCTAATTATTTCAGCTTAATTAAAATTTTTAAAAATAAGTTCGATATGAGAATTTTTACCTCAGATCCTCTTGAAGAGATTCTAAGTATTATCCCATTTTTTGTTTGTTAATTAGCAACAGCATAAACAAAGATAACAAGTATTGCAAAAAAGATTGAAAATCAAAGATGACACTCTTTCAGTATTTTGTCTCGTATTTCAAGAAAAAGAAGCTAAAAATTCATTTTATTATTTATAATTGTTTGTTATGAATACTAGAACAGAAACTATATTTGATTTTTGCCTTCTGTAAAATTTTATTAATAATATCAGACCGTTCGTATTTACCCAAGAAAATTGGAAAACTGGGGTAAATCCGAACGGTATTTTTAATAATTTTTTTTTACATCAAAGCCACACAAAATTGTTTTTATTTGATTACACTATTATTTTAACATTATAAAAGTACATAGAAAAAAGTTTTTCTTTCTATACGTATCCTCGTTAGTAATTAATAAGCAGAAACTTAATCTCTGTTCTCTCGAAGGAGTGTTTCAATTTTTTTGCCAAATGGTTTGTTGAAAAAAGTTTTTCAGGATCTTAATAAAATTTGGTATTCTACGGTTTTTGGGGTCGCTAATTACCAATTTGAAGTCAGTTTTTCAAAATTCAAAATGGCGGACGAGAATTAAAAAATTCATTGGATTCGCTCGAAAATTGTTACTCGGGGGGTTTCAGGGTTAGCAAATTTGATTATTTTTAAAAATAAGTTTTAGGAAAGTACGCCATTTTGAATTTAAAAAATTTGACTTTTATTTTTGTATTTACATTCAATCACTCCAAAATACTTTCTGTAGCAAGTTTTGCAAAAATCCGTTATGATTTGATAAAGTTATTGAAGGTTTTAATTGTGTAATGCATTTTAATTTTTAACCTGTTTGATTTTTGTATTTATATATGATGCATTATTACATAATAGGTTTATTATCGTATTTTTTTGAGTTTTTATATAAGTTTAACAATTGCAATACTTTAAATTTATTTTCCCTAAGATTTTTCTGAAATACAGTGGCGTTCGTATTTACCCCCATATTTTAGGAAAGTTGCAAAGTATCGAGGTAAATACGAACGCTAAGTTTCCTGCGATTGTAATTTATCAAAATTTTTTTCTACCCCATAAAATTGTTCTATGGAAGTAAAGTAACAACTTCATGCACCAGAATACCGGAAGTATTTTTTTTTTAAAGAAAAAACTTATGTTATTGTTGAAACTTACTAAAAGCGTTCGGATTTACCCCGGTTGACCCTATCAATTTAAATATTTTTAACATTAATTTATACTGAAATTATAAAAAATTTTAAGTGTAATTATTTTATAATCTCAATTATTTTCATATTTTTATTATAATAAATTTTGTGTAAATAATTTAATTTTTTAAATATTTAAAAATTTTTTGTAATTATTAATTTTAATTTTAATAAACTAAAAATGTGATTTAAAAAAAAAAAAAGAAATTTAAATTAAAAAATTTTAATCAATTTTTCACAAACTTCGATCATTTTAAAAATATTTAAAAGTATCTCAATAATAAAATTGCATATTTAATTATTTGAAAATTACTTAATTTATTAAAAAAAAGTAGATAAATTAATTAAATTTTAAAAAATCTAAGTTTTAATTGAATAAAATTAAAAAATATAATTAAAGTTTGTAAATGAATTAACTTCAAATTTTTTCTAAATATTTCTAAATAAATAAATCCTATGTTCAATTTATAAATTTTTAATTTATATTCAAAATAAAAGTGGAAGAATTTTTTATTCCCTTTTTTTTAATGTAAATAGTTTAAAAAGAATAAAATGTAAAAATTATTATATATTTATTTATTATAAGAAGGTAACAGAGATAGATATTATTTTTTTTAAAAAAAATTAATATTTTACATTGCTTTTTAGAGAATAATCGGGTAAACAATTTGAAAACTTTTTTTTTTTCTGTATTAACAATTAAATAATTTACATTTTTTAAGTTTTGCAGTGCGAATATAAACAATTTTATTTGTAATTTAATTAATTTGTTTTTTAAATTTTTAATGTCAATTTTGCACCATTAAAAGTTATTTATTTGAACAAAAATTACAATTTTCTGACAAAAGGAAACAATTTAGGGAATTTAGTTATTACATAACCTAAAATTGTGATAATCGTTTCTTTTACCCTTAAAAATGTGTAATTTTTATGCAAATATAACTTTCAATACTTCAAAGTATTAAAAATAACATTGTTCATACTTTTACTAAATAAGTTTCTGACCAAAAATTCTTTTTTAAACATGAAAAAACACAAAAATGTTAAACGGAAGAAACTCGCAAATTTTTTTCAATCAGCGACTCTTCGTTGCCACAGGTTTGCCAACATCGTTAAAGTAAATTTAGTTTTAAAAAAGTACATTAATTTTTTACATTTTTAAACAAAACTTAAAATTATTTTAATTGTGATTATTTATAGTTTATATCCTACTGCTATATCCATAAAAGATTAAATATTTTGTTTTTTAATTAATTAATATAACCTGATAAGGTTGGCAAACCTGAGTTAACGAAATGTCGACGATTAAAAAGAAAAATAAAAAAAAAAATTATCAACTTATTGTCCTTTTGATAAATTATATTAGATTTAATATTCAGACATTTATGAAAAGAATTTTAACTTATTTTATAAATTAAAAATAAACAATACTTACTTATAAAAAACACTACATCAGTTTTGAAAGTCATCTAATCGATTTAACATTTTTAATTCAATTTGGCTTCGTAAGGCAGTGAAAAACACTGAGAAATATTCTCTATAACAGAATAAATAAGTACTTTGTTTAAAAATTAATAAAATAATAAAATAACAATTTAATTTCCAAAGTAAAAAAAATACAATTCAATAATAATAAATGACATTAAAAATTTTTTAAAAAGTAGCTAAAAATTACAAAATACTTCTAAAAAAACATTCAAGCATGAAGAAAATTCAAAATTCGCGTTTATTATCGAAACAAATGAATCACTTTTCACGATAATGATAGATTTGCAAAATGAAAATTAGACACTCTTGTATTGACGTGTGTGTGTGTGTGAGTGTGTGTTGACAATGAAAACTAAGACACAAATTTCCAATGTGAAAAAAAAAATGAAATCTCATTTATAAAATTCAATATTTGTCAAATATTATTTTTTGTCATATGCAAAAGTTTTTTTTTATAAGCAAACAGAAATTATAAATGTATATACACAAGAAAGCTTCGTCCCTCCTCTTGCCTCTTGACCTTACGTCCCTGTTGAACTTGCATTGCAATGAATTACCCCACAATAATTAATATTTTTAATATTGTAAATAGAAAAAAATTTGACTCACCACAAATGCACAACACTTAATTTATTGTTGAAAAAAAATTTTTTTTCAATATTTTCAAAATCTATTTTCACCACATGCAAAAAATGTTTATTGTTTCTTTGGAAAAATTTTTTGTTGAATAAAAACTATGGCGTTACAACATAATGGCGGCGAAGTGTTTATGCCTAAGCCGCCACGAACTAGTGTACTAAATATAGTGAGTAAACTCATCAATACCACTGGACCTCGGCACACTGACATCGTAATGATAAGAAAGAAAATGACAGCCATATATCTTCTATCATTTTCTATCTTATACGATTTCTTTCTCTTTCTATGAGTTAAATAAGGATATACATCTATCTTTGTCTAATTTCTAGCTTGAATTGTATTTGTGATTTGTCAATTTTTGGAAAATTTGTCAACTAACAAAACTAAAGAGCCCGTCTCATGGTGGCGTTAAACCGAAAGCATTAAGCCAATAAAAACTCTCTATTAGAATGATTTCCATTGGATCAAACGTTCTTATTGGCTAACGCTTTTCGTTTTCCACATTTGAGGCGTTTCACTTCAAAAAAAAAAAAAAAGCAAAATCCATCCTTGATCTTTTTGTACTTTGGCAACCTTCAAGTATGTGAACAAAACTTTAATCTTTTCTCTTTGTCTAACCTATGTGCTTATATACACACGTATACGTGTCGTCATATCCGAGAACTCACCTGATTTTGCTGGTTTGTATTAGTCGTGTATAAACTCTATTTTCCTCAACGAAGAGGAAAAAAGTGTAGATTCAAAAATGTCATCAACAGAAAAAGAAAATAGTGAAAGTCCTCAGGAAAATTTACCCCAAGAAGGAGAGAGTCAATCAACAAATAGCGAAATTGTCACAGCCGAAAATAGCGAAGGTGAAAGAAATGTAAGTGTAAAAAATTTTCTTTTTCTTTTATTTTAATTTTCATTGAAGAAATTTCATTTCCAATTGTCATTCATTGCGTTTTTTAAATTTTACATTTTATTTCTATCATTTAATAAATGATACAATTAAATTTGAATTTTGTCACTATTTTCATTATATAAAAAGGCGTTTCCTAGGAATGTAATCAAATTTTGGTATTTCAATTAATAATTTTTTTTTTTGGTAGGAAGTTTTTAAATTGAATTGATTAAATTACACGTGATTATGAGTAATGTAAACGAATGAATGAAATTCTATTATTATTATTATTTTAATTCTGATTTTTTTTATAAACATTTTTTTTTTAACTATTACGATATGTAACCTTGACAAATTATTACATTTATTTTTATTCTAAATTCTAAAATAATTTAAAAGATTAATATTAAAAAAAAATTAATAGATCTTAATAAAAAAATATTAGTGAATCGCGTAAATTATGAATTGAAAAATAAAATTTTGTTAATTACCTTCTTTTTTTTAAGGTTGCTACCGCCGAAACTGAGGAACAACGACGAAAGCAAACAACATGGTCGGAATCATTTTTTGCCATTACCAAATCCCTTATAATTCGTGCACTTATAATTTATTTTATAAGTTCATTCTTCCGTCGACCACAGCAGACTGATGTTCAAACTCAACAAGGCAGTGCAGGTGGCAATAATATGCCTAAATTAAGTTCATTAAATCTTTTTGAAAATGGAACAATATTTGACATGAATGTTTATTTATCGGAATCGTTAAATTTTGACGATTTTTCAAATACAAATGCACATATTTGGACGGAAAAACGATTAATTTATGGCGATTGGTCAAGTGGTCCAGACAATGATGGAACAAGAGTTCATGTTCATAAATTTGCTCCATCAAAACAATTATTAAATAATGGTTCAATTTATGTTCATGTTTTTGTTACAAAAAGTGGCAAATCACCTGATCCTAATGCGGGTAAAGGAAGATACGCTGGAAAGGATATGATTTCACATGCATCTAAAATGTTAAATAAATTTAAACGTGTTAAATATCAAAAAACACATAATTTATTAACGGGTGAAACTGCAGCAACTGAAGATGAAATTAAGGTAAATTTTTGTACGATACTGAAATTCGCAACAAATTTTAGAGAAAATTTTTTTTTTTTTATAAATTTTCATCTCACATGACCTCCCTGAAGTTGGCTTCGACGCTTAGCGCCGAAAATAATTTTTCGCAGAATCAAAAATTTCAAATTATTTTTTTTTAATTTTTCAATCCAAAGAATACCTTAAAAATTACTTCTCAGGGCATTGTGTGGACCGAAAATCTTTTTAACAAATGTTTTGATATTTTTGATTTCGCGAAAAACAATTTTCGGCGCTTAGCGTCGAAGCCAACTTCTGGGAGGTCTCACATGGTATTTTTTGCAATCTTTTCTAATCAAGAGATTATAAAAAAAATCTTTTTTTAGATAAAAAATTATTTATTTTTTCTAATCGTTGATTATAAGCGTTGTGAATTTTTGAAATAGAATCATCATTTTATGAATTTCAAGAACGCATGAATATTTTTCACATTAAATTTAAAGGTTTTTTTTTTTTTATCTCTTACACGAATTCACGATTTTTTTCTGCTTTTTGAAAAAAAAAATGTAATTAAAATATATTTGGGACATTCCATGGGAAATTTTCATTCAAAATTATTTTTTGCTCGTAACATTTTTTTTGAAATTTATATAAAAAACAAGAATATATGTATTTTTAAAATTTTTTAAATTTTGTTTATTTGCAGGCCTCGGATTATACGACTTTTTATGACTTTTTTTTCAAAAATACGACTTTTTCGACTTGTCTAATAAAATGCGACTTTTTCGACTTTTTTTTACAAAATACGTTTTTTTTTTAAGTATAAAATTCAGATCTTCTTTATTTCAATTATTTAACAAATTTTTAACTAAAATTCTTCACTAAATTAATTATTTTTAATAATTTTAACGAAATTCTTCACAAATTCAATTATCTTAAACTATTTTTTAATTATTAAATTTTTAAAAAATTTAATAATTATTTATAGGGTCAAACCATTATATTTCAACTAAAGTGGTCGCTGACTAATTTTTAAAAATTATAATACTTTGCAGGAATGATTTTGAAGTTATCAAGATCACGAAATGAAAAGAATTTTATTAAAAATTTAAATATTTATTGTAAAATATGAATTTAAAGTATATGAGGTGCTAAAAACTGTCAATTTTTTAGCCATTAGAAAATATGCAAAAAAAACATAGAATTTACCATAAAAATAAAAAAAAATTATTGGAATTTACTAAGAATGAATAAATTTATCATTATCAATTGATATAATTATTTAAAGATGTGAAGTAATATATAAAATATGATTTCCAAGTGCACCTGTCAAATAACCTAATTTTGCGATTTTTATTCATTAATTATAAAAAATAGAAAACATTAAATTAAATAAAAACTTACCAAATATGAAGTTCTTGCCATAAACTTTTAGAATTTCTTTGCACTTTTCTTCTTTTCTATTCATAAGTATGAAAAATTTAAAAAATAAAATAGCTACTTTGTCTATTTTCACTATTTTTGAAAGTCAATAACTTTCTTGGAGAAAAATGAAAAAATATGGGGTTTCGAAAATTATTTAAATACACACTACATATACATTCACTGAAAATTTCGCATTGGTCCCGAAGCTATTTTCGAAGATAAAGTAAATTAAAAATTTCGTATTTTTTAGGCTATATTGACATGGGTTTTAAAGGTATTAATTCAATGTGAAGTTTGTCGTCACCAGTGAACCACCTTCACATTGATTTAAAATCCATGTCCATATAGCCTAAAAAATACGAAATTTTTAATTTACTTTATCTTCGAAAATAGCTTCGGGACCAATGCGAAATTTTCAGTGAATGTATATGTAGTGTGTATTTAAATAATTTTCGAAACCCCATATTTTTTCATTTTTCTCCAAGAAAGTTATTGACTTTCAAAAATAGTGAAAATAGACAAAGTAGCTATTTTATTTTTTAAATTTTTCATACTTATGAATAGAAAAGAAGAAAAGTGCAAAGAAATTCTAAAAGTTTATGGCAAGAACTTCATATTTGGTAAGTTTTTATTTAATTTAATGTTTTCTATTTTTTATAATTAATGAATAAAAATCGCAAAATTAGGTTATTTGACAGGTGCACTTGGAAATCATATTTTATATATTACTTCACATCTTTAAATAATTATATCAATTGATAATGATAAATTTATTCATTCTTAGTAAATTCCAATAATTTTTTTTTATTTTTATGGTAAATTCTATGTTTTTTTGCATATTTTCTAATGGCTAAAAAATTGACAGTTTTTAGCACCTCATATACTTTAAATTCATATTTTACAATAAATATTTAAATTTTTAATAAAATTCTTTTCATTTCGTGATCTTGATAACTTCAAAATCATTCCTGCAAAGTATTATAATTTTTAAAAATTAGTCAGCGACCACTTTAGTTGAAATATAATGGTTTGACCCTAAATTTAAAAAACAAATTAGCAAATAAAATTACCAAAAATTATTACCTAATTCAAAATCACTTGAAATTTAATTATTTGCAAAAATTTAAATTATTTTTAATGATTTTTATAATATTCTTCCAAAATTCAATTATCTGAAAGCATTTTTCAATTAAAAACTTTTAGAATTTAATTTTTTTTAATGTGATTTCTAATAAATTCTTCATCAACAAAAATTTCTAGAAATTTATCTTATTATAATTATTGTCTGTCATTTAACACAATCTTTTGAAAGTAAATTATTTTCAAACATTTCAATTTAAAAGCTTCTAAAATTTAATTATTTCTAAAAATTTTTGAAATTTAATAATTTCAATTACCTATAACTCTCCTAAAATACAATAATTATTTTGAAGGATTTTTATAAAAATTCTTCGAAAACTCCACATTCTGAAACCATTTTTCACTTAAAAAGTTTTCAACTTATTGTATTTTTGTCTGCAATTTCTAATCATTTTTTTAGTTACATAAATCATCAAAAATTTTAAATTAAAGTAAAGTTTAATTATTGTTTGAAAATTAACAAAATCTTTTGAAATTCAATTAATTCTTAAAAATTTCAACTTTAACTCTTCCAAAATTATTATTTAAAAAAAAATTTTATTTTAAAATATGTAAAACTTGGATTAGGTTTTTCCTGAAATTTTCTTGACCATCAAAATTAAAAACTGTGACAAAATTTTTAATTCGAATTAATTAATTAAATCAAACTTCAAAAAATTATAAAAATGGAAGTTTAAGAATTTTTTTGTCCTACTTAAATAAAATTTTGAAAATTTGTCTTACAATGAGTTCGATTCTGAAATATTCGAAAAAAATTTTCTTGATAATATTCTTATAGAATTATTCTCATTACAGAATTAATAAAATGAATTTAATATCTAATAACATTAGTTATTTAACATAAAATATTTATTAACCAATTAAATTTTGTTAAAATAAAAAAATCGACTTTTTCGACTTTTTTTTAAAATATGAATCGTCTAAAACGACTTTTTTTTGTGCCTTAAAGTCGATCCGAGGCCTGCATTTGATAAAAATGAAGAAAGTTATGATTGAATATAAAGATTTATTTATCAAAAAACTAACGACATTATAATAGCCCCTAGGAGGGTATAATTACCCCTATTCATGGTAACTAAATTCTAATTTCACAGAATTTCTACTTAGTCAAACTTTTATTGAGCTGATATTCTAGTTCATTGAATTTTTATTTAACATCATTTATATTTAGTAAAATTTTCATAAAAAAAAAAATTTAATTTCACAAAATTGTTCCTTAATTGAATTTTTACTTATCCGAATATTTACTCAACACTATTTTCATTAAACTAAATTCACATTAAACAAAATTCTTATTTATTCATATTTTCATTAATAGGAATTTTGAGTACAAAAAATTTGTATTTAACAAAATTTCCGCTTAGCTGAATTTTTAATTATAATAATTTCTAATTTACCAAAACTTCATTTGATTAAATTTTCACTTGTTCGAATTGTCATTTTAAAGAATTTTTTAAAAAGACGGAATTTTCAATTTACGAGACTTTAATTAGTTCTAACAAACATTCGGAAAAAATATTTCGAGAATTTTTAAAAATAAAGGAATCAAAAATTGTCAAAAACATTTGTGATTCATTTATTTTAAAATTCTTGATGAAATACATAATAATATAATATAATTATTATAATATAATAATAATATTTTGTCTCATTAAATATAAAAATGTAATTTTTCTCATGTTTTAAATTTTTTAGGTTTAATTTTTTATTCTTTTTTTAAAATTATTGAAAATAACGAAATTTTTTCAGAAAGCCGAATTGATGAATCAAGAAATTCTTTCTCACTGGCATCCAAATACGACTATTAATTTTGTCGTTGATCAAACCAACTGGGTACCGGGTCAAGTTCCTCCACCTTTAAATGAATGTGAGTTAAATAAATTCAAAACAAACAAACATGGCTCGGAGTGACTTTTTCTTTCTTCTTTTATGATTTAATTTTAGTAATAGTAAATAAAAAAAATTATTTTTTAATTAATTAAATTTATCAAGAATTACGAAGCTGAAGTACGCAACGTTTATGATAAACGATTTTTAAAGAAATAATTTTAAAAAATGAAAAATTCTATAATTTTTTGCCAAAAAAAATTTTTTTTTATAATTTGTTGATTAATGAAAACTACAAGAAATATTTTTTAAGCGAAAAATTGTAGAATTTTTATTTTAAAAAATAATTTTTTTAAAAAATAATTTTTTTAAAAAATTATTTTTTTAAAAATCGTTTATCATAAACGTTGCGTATTTCAGCTTCGTTAAGAATTAAAAAATTTGTGAATTTTTTGTCTCAATAATTTAGATAAAAAGAAATATTTTCTAAATGTAGAAAAAAAGAGAATTTTTCAATTTCAAATAATGAGAAATTTTTTTTCCCACAGATATTGAATTTTCACTTGGTGGCAGTGTCTATAAGCCAGTTGTTTATTTCAATGATTTTTGGAATATGCAAAGGGACTATCATCCTTTGAATGATTCGATAAAAGAACTTGAATTACGTCTCACGTATCAACCACTTTCATTATTTAAATGGCAACTCTATACAGCTCAGAATATGAGAAATAAATGGACATCTTCAATTTTAGGTATAAAACATAGAATTTAAAATATTTTCAATAAAATTGCCTTGACATAATTAATATTTTTCTATTATTAATTAAAAATTAATTTTTCAGGCAATCCCGAAGAGGAAGATAGTGATCAGGATACGTTAAAAGAAGCTCTTCTTGAAACAAATCCCTATCTTTTGGCATTGACTTTTGCAGTGTCAATTTTACACAGCATCTTTGAGTTTCTTGCATTCAAAAATGGTACGAAAAATCTTAATTCTAAATTACATTTTCTAAATATTTTTTTAAATTTTCTTTTTTTTGCAGACATTGAATTTTGGAATAATCGAAAATCCTTGGAAGGTCTTTCGGTGAGAAGTGTATTTTTCAATGTATTTCAATCTGTGATAGTTCTTCTTTATGTTCTTGATAATGAAACAAATACAGTTGTTCGCATTAGCTGTGCAATTGGTCTTTGTATTGAAATATGGAAAATTAATAAGACTGTCGACATTAAAGTGAATCGTGAATCGAAAATATTTGGCATTTTCCCACGAATATCGTATCAAGATAAAGGATCATATGTTGAATCATCGACAAAAGAATATGATAGACTTGCCTTTAGATATTTATCATGGGCACTTTATCCACTACTTGGTGGTTATGCAATTTATTCTCTAATGTATTTAGAACACAAGAGCTGGTACTCTTGGGTATTGAGTATGCTTTATGGATTTCTATTGACATTTGGCTTTATAATGATGACACCACAACTTTTTATCAACTATAAATTAAAGAGTGTCGCACATCTTCCATGGCGAATGTTGTCATATAAATTCTTAAATACATTCATTGACGATGTGTTTGCCTTTGTCATTAAAATGCCAACACTTTATAGGCTAGGCTGCTTCCGTGACGATATTGTCTTTTGTATATATCTTTATCAACGTTGGATCTATAAAACTGATCTCAGTCGTGTCAATGAATTTGGATTCTCAGGTGAAATGGCCGCTGAATTGAAAGAGAAAAAAGCAATTGAACCAGCAAAAACTGGTGAAACGGTGAAAAATGAAATTGACAAGAAAACTGATTGATCATTTCAATAGTAAAGCATTTTTTTTTTTTTTTCAAGAAAAAAATAGATTCATTGATTTAAAATTTAAAAAAAAAAACAACGTTTAAGTACATAAGTACCAAAGTAACGTGTGTGTGAAAACTTTTCATTAAAACGCACGAATACAAGACATTTGTGCGTGTGAATATTCTATTTGAATTTTTGAAAATATATTCGCACAATTGCGTAATTAAATGAAAGTACGGCGTGTATAATTGTAATTGAAGCGATTCTTCGTGATTCAGTGATGCTATCAATATATAGATATATTTGATGTGAAAAAAAAGTAAAACGCCTCCATAATATGAATAATTTGGGACGTATGAATGTTTTCCTAAAAAAAAATTATTAGTCCTAATTTCTCATTGTATTAAAATTTATAAATAATGTCGAATTTCTATATAAAAACAATTCTGGAGCATACATTTTGACTATATAATAATACGTTAATGATCCTTTTGGAGGTTCATCTACGTAAATCTTGTTATGACTTTTACTTCCTCTAAATGATCAAATTTAGTCATTGACGATTGTCAAAGAAAAAAAAAACTACCGTTCAATAATTCAAAGACATTTTTAAATTATTCAATCGATAAAAGTGACGAAGAATTTTATTAAAAGTAGAATTTATATTGAACTGAATTTTTATTATCAGAATTTTCCGTATTAGATAATTTTTTTACCTGATAAAATATTTATTTATTCAAATATACGGGCAGATAATTAACTAAAGATGATGCTTTTATCTTTTCAAGAAGAAACAATAATAGAAATTAATTTTTATATATTTTTATAACACTATATCAATGCGGTTAAAAAAAAATTCAGTTTAATCAAAAGTTTGTTTTTTGTCTTATCCCGATAATTAAAACTTTTCTTTTATTGAATTGATCGAATTGTTAGATAGGTATAATTTATATTTTATCGAATTTCTATTTTTGGCCGAACTTTTATTTTATATGAATTGTCATATATTTGACAGAATTCTTAAAATATCACCGAATTTATATTTGGCATAAAATGCTTATTTTTATCGAAAACGAAAATCTAAGCAAAAACATTAAGGCGGTTCAACTCCTTAACATAACCTCAAACTAAGAATATGTTTCATTACCAAATAAAAATATAATTAAAGTTAAATTTAATAATAATAATAATAGTAATTTTACAAAATTTTGAAAGATCGAATTCTTCAATTTTTAAACAAAAATTATTTTGCTCTTTGAAAAATTCTTTACAATTCTGTTTTTTGGTTTTTGTTGAATAATATTTTGTTGAAATTAAATATGAAAAATAGAAACTTTATTTGTTCAATAATAACTTTTAAAGAAAATTTTGTTAATGAAATTCAACAAATAAAATTATAGAGAATATTTTAAAGAGAAAAATAAATATTGTTTGTAAAAATTGGATAATGATAATTATTCACTAGAACTTTAACAAAACACACAAAAAATTTATTATTTAACAGCAAATTTTGGCTGAAAATAATTTTTTTTTTTTTAATTGTACAACTGAATCTTTTAAATTTTGATAAAATCAATTTTTTAATTATAGTTTTACTTGTTATTTTGTTATTAAAAATAGCTTTTTAGTTTGAGGTTATATTTCAATGGGTCGAACATCCTTAAGATTTTAAAATTATCTAAAAATAAAAGTTTTGTAATATAAAAATTTCGACCAAATATTATCAATTCTACTAAATAAAAATTTTAATATTCCATTAATCTCTAATTCGTTTAAATATATAAATTCTTTGCTATGAAAAATCATTTCACACTAAAAATTCGGTTAAATAAAAAAGATTAAATGCGGATTCTGATGAAAGAGAATTTTGTTAAATAATAATTCAATTATTATAAAAATTCTCTTAAATAGAAATTTGGTTAAGCATAAAATTTTTGGTATGAAAATTTACTTAAAAATAAATCAGACCATTATATTTCGAACAAAGTTGTTGTAGTCTAATTTTAAAAAATTCGATACTTTCGCAAAAATGATTATGTATGTCTAGGGAACGAAATAAAAAGTAATATCAACATAAAAACTATTAACATATGAAGTATTATTATTTATTTAAAAAATTTTTAATATTTAAATTTTAAATATGAATGAAGTTGAGGAAATACAGAAAACTCACTTTTTTTTAGCAATTAGAAAATACATAAAAAAAACATAATTCTTAAAAATAAAAAAAATTATTGATTCTTGTTTATAATTAATTATTGTTTAATGATTAAAATAGGGAAAAAATTATAATAATGAATAAAATATATTTTTAAAGTTTGTCTGTCAAATAACCTAATTTTGCGATTTTGTACAATTATTTGTAAAAAAAAAAAAAAAAAATAGAGTAATTAAAATAAATTTTAATTTACCCAATATGAAGTAAATGAAAAGAAGCTTCTAAATTTCTTGACTCTTTTTTCATGTTTATTTTAAATATACAAGAAATATTAAGTTGAAAGTTGGTAATTTTTTTTATTTTTGCAATCATACAGAATTATTTCTGAAAGTATCAATTTTTTTTTAAAATTAGAATAATCTGATCCAGATATAAATTTTACCCTAAAAAATTCGGTTTAATAGAAATTCGACTTCGTATATTTCAAAGTAGTACTGAAAATTTAGGTATATAATTTTTTTTAGGAAATATTCATGCGACTCAATATGCCCTTATAAAAGATTCTTTGCAAATTTGATAATTTTACAATTTTTTTTTTTTTTCGATAATGCACAATTAATTCCTAAGCGATTTTAACTTAGGTTTATTAACATTCCACGAGGAATATTTTTTCCCTGTCGTATAGATTTTATGTTGCTTTTTATATACATATTATATGGTCCATAAATTTTACCTTTTTATCAAAAAGACTTAAATTAACAATAATAAGTGGATTGAATTAAAAAAAAAAAAAAAAAGAAAGAAGAGCATAATATAAAAAATATTATCAAAGTAGACATAAAGTAAATGAATCATGTAAAAAAATATATAAAATTAAATCAATATCACTATATATTTTTTCCTTTATTTTGGATCGTATAAAAAAAAAACTAGTACTAAAATTTTATCCAAACTGAAAAATCATTTGAATATCAAAACTAAAATTGCACTGCATTTTTCTTATTTTTTAAATAATAATTTTTTCCTAATAATTTTTTATTCAAATATTTAAAAGAGAAAAAAAGTATGCATAATATAATAGAAGAAGTTGATTAAAACTTTATTTAATAAAAATATAATTGGTAGAACATTAATTAGTTTTGAGAATTAATTTTTTTAATCATATTTATTAATTTTAATCAACCTCTTCTTATTGGAAAACGAGTGCAAAAAGATGCCATGGATTTTTACTGAAATTAATTTTTTTTTCAATATTAAATATACTTATACACAACTTTAAGGAGGGATGTGCGATAATTTCAAGTCATATATATGTGATCTCTATTGTGAAAAAATATGCTAACAAATTTGTATAAAATATAATATATATATATAGAAATATAATCCAAATATTTACGTTGCTAAAAATCAAGTGTGCAAGAAATTTTGAGAGAAGAAAAAAAAGGCGTAAAAATTAGTGAGAGAAATTAACAAAATGAGATTGATCAGAATATACACTTGTATAAAAACTGTATATTAATATTCATATACAAGATGATTTATTAAATTTCGTACCTCCTAAAATTGTTTTTTTTTTTTTAAATAAATTTTTTATGTTGAAATGAAAAAAAAAAAATTTTTAAGTAAATCGTAATTTAATTATCATCTTATATATACTGAGTGATATACACATCAAATGAAACTAAATTACATAATCATTATAAGAATAACAATAAATCAGTTATGTATTACTGAAAATAAAATAAAGATTTTTTCCACATTGGAAAAGTTGTCATGAAACAAAAATATGTGACAAAATTGTACTTGTAAAAATATTATCCCTCAAAATATCGCATTCCTCCTTAATTTTAAATTAAATCTGTAATTAATTTTTTATTCCTAATATCACGAAACCATTAATTATTATTTAATTTCAGAGATAATATAAAAAAATACATATATATATATATATATATACAGTATAATATTGCAATTTATAAAATATTAAAAAAATAAAAATGCAATAGAAAAATTACCGAAATATTTTCAAAGGGTACTCAAAATTTTACCGAGAGTACTTAATTTAAAAAAAAAAATTTCCTATATTTTCCTATTTTTTTTCTTAAAAAATAAAACTAATTTTTGAAAATAGTAATTTGTATTTTTTTCGAAATAAATTTTAATTTTGCTTATTCACTCTTTGTACAGAATTTATTTATTTTCTATAGGTAAGTATTTTACCTCAAGAATTTCATTGTAAAAAAAATTATTCTCGAAAAACAATTTAAATATTAAATATATTATTAATTTATTGCTCCTATTGGTAATAGTTTTTTGTTTTTTTTTTACATTGTGTTAAGTGAACTTTTCGAAAATTTTATGCAACAAATGACTAAATAATAATTTACTAGATTTATGTCGATTAAAAACTTATTTTTAAAATTGTTTGTATCGTTCGATATTTAAAAAAAAATTTAAGAAAATTTAAAATTCGAAAATTATAATTTTCAAAGAATGAGAGTTCTAAAAAATTTGTTGTTATTCTCACATTGCCTTAAGGACATGTTATTCATTCGTGAAGTATAATAATCACGTGCGTCTACTATATATAATTGGCGATTCAAACAGCTACACTAGCGCCACAGTTGAACTAATTTAGGTGTGACTCGCTCTAAAGCAGTCTCTGTTTTGACAGTTTATTTCAAATTATTTAATTATTCTGATATTTTTATTGCGTTTGTAAAATTATTTTTAAGCGTTAAATAAAAAAAAATAATTTAAAACACATGGAGTGCTACAGAGCGAGTCACGCCTAAATTAGTTCAACTGTGGCGCTAGTGTAGCTGTTTGAATCGCCAATAACATAACCTTAAAAGTAATTTCGTGTTCTTTAAAATAGTACCAACCGTTTCTCTAGAAAGTATTAATGTACTTTTTCAAAAAAAATTTGGTATAGAAAAACAATAATAAATACAAAAAAAAAATATATATATATATTTCTAACCTTATTTTGCCATCGATGCGTTTTATTTATATTGGACGATATCATCTGCTGGAGACACACGATTATTATAAAAATGTCAAACACTCTCGGAAACCATATGTATATATTTTTAAATAACGAAATACTTTTTCTATAATTGAAGCGATCGCGTGATTTTAAAAAATTTCGAACACTCCCAAGACAATCCTAAAAATTTTGCTAAAATTAATTTAACAATAAAACGTTTTCGTTCGCGAATTAAAAGAATCAAGCACTTCCGAAACTATACATTCATTTTAAATGTGAAAATATCAAATAAAAGACGATAAAAAGAAA